TTGTTTATTATACTCTTATCTAATTTATGTTAAATTTATTATTCTTTAATTTTTGTAATGAATAATATTATTAAATATTAATCATTAATCATCAATTATTACTCAAAATTATTGTCTTATTTTTACTATTATTAATTATTTAGCTATGAATCCTTACTCATTATTCATTGCTGTTTGCGTATTATTATTACTTATTTATTTAATATATGTTGTAATTAATTACTTATTTGCGATATTCATTAATCATTGATACACCGTTATAAAAATATTTTTATGAATTATATACCATTTATTATTCACTATTATATGTGTCAATATTTTGTATTTTCTGTTTTATTTTACTTTATATTTTCTTAAAATTTATTTAAATTATTAACAAACGTTTGAAATATCTTTCGGTTCATTTGCATAAGACCTGCCTGGGAATCGAAGCCCCGAAGCTCTATTGCTAATGCAAATGCTGATCGCTGATGATTGGGCTACTGCGACAACTCATCTCATATTTAATTAATGTAATTTATATACAAAATAATGTGACGCCTGCATGAGCAATGTAATACGAGGCGAGTAACTGATGATTATAGTAGTATTATTATTATTACCCAACCATTCATAACTCAAATGGCTCGCATAAAGCTTATTTAATGAATAAGAAATGCATTCCGCAGCAAAACACTCGAACACAAATCTCCGTCTCGCTGCCTTCGCTTGATTGTTATGCTAATAGTATGTACGGCTCTTTGAGTGTTGTCAAATATGCAACAAAAGTGTTAACAATGCCATAAAAAAAATTCAACTTATTTACACTTATCCAAATTATATATCTATGTACATAGAAATGATTTTTGAATAGCCATTGTGGTGTAAACGGGAATATCAGCATATTACGGCAGCCCTGGCGGACAACTAATGCTCAATCAAACACACGCGACGTATACTTAATATTTTCAATGTTTGCATAAACCAAACACTTATGCATATAATGTATAGACTCTATATATATTTATATATAGGCAACATTACGGCCAAGCCTCTGAGCCACTTGACTGACTTTGACGTCTGCGCTGACTGTGTGGTTCAGTGTGTGGTGCGACCGCAATCGCCGCCGCCGCCATCAACGTGGGCAGCTGTTGATTGTCTTTTTGACTTTGGCGCCACAGAATTGTTGCCAAATACACAACAACAAYAATGAAACAACAATAATCATAATAATAATATGAAAATGCAGCCGCAGCAGCAACAGCAGCAGCACCTAAAGAGAATCACATTTTGTGGGTCAACTACTTTGGGCTGATCGTAGATCGAAGAGGTTTGCCTGGCGGCGCATCGTTTTGCAGTTGGAGCCAAAGAATTTTAATGGTTTTCAAACGTTCCCAAGACCCAAAACTCACTCGCTCACTCAATCAGTCAAACATTTGCTCATTCAATCATTCCCTCACTTATATATATATATATACGTACTTCGTGCTTGTCAGTTCGTTTTGCTTTATTTCTAACTATTTTTTGGGTTTTTTTTTTTCTTCTTTTTTTTTTTTTTTTGCCCAATTGCCGTAATTATTTTGTCTCTCTAACACGAATTTAAATCAGCAACTGTCCCACGGGCCATTCGACTGGGGCCCTTTTACTTGATCTACACTATATATGGCCATACGGCTGGCAACTGACAGCACCACCATAATTATTCAGGCACACAGCTGCTCCACAAGCACTGCCAGCGCCGGATGAGCATCAACTTCAACTTTAACTTCAAGATACAGACACACACATAGACATAGATACAGACACAGATACAGCTACAACTACAGCCAGAGCTTCGGCTACATCTGTGCAGCTTAATAAATCAATGGCTGGTGGTGTGGCGCGTATTAAAAGTGGTGCAGTGGGTCAACAGCTGGACGCAGCTGCCAAGCATCGCTGGCCGCTAGCCCCGCTGGCCCCACTTAATACTTCTTAATGGGGCTGCTGCCCATAGTCCACAAGATTTCAAGTCTTTGGCCTAAAGTTTCCATTTCCCTCGACGAAATTGTGCGCGTGTTAAATAAATCACTTGATGGAGTGCTAAGCAGGCGCCCTCAGGCTCTGGGAAAAACTATTGAAAGCTGAAGTTCTGCAGCAGCAACAACAACTACCACAACAACAACAGCAATTTCGCCGACTATTAAGTTCTAATAGGTGTGGCAAACGTTGCGTATGCGCTATAAAAATAGTAAAAAAGTCTTTAAAATTCTTTAACAAATTATCTAATTATCATTCATGTATCTTTGTTAGTCGGTTTTTTTTCCTATTAACTTTTTCCCACGTTTGAATATTAATTGTCTATAGCAGCGCGTAATACGTTGCGTATGCGTAATAAAAATATTTTAAATTCAGCTAAAGCTATTTAAAAATTGTAATTCTCAGCTCTCTCAGCTTCGGCTCAATATTCAATTATTTTTTAGAACAAAGCCAAAGCTTGAGCGTTATTAAAAATTAATAACAATTAACAATTCGCTTGGCTTTCACTATTTGAAAAGCTAGATTAAAAAGAAAATCTAACAAAATTATTATGTGTGTGCATTTCACATTCAACTAAAGCGCATCTGAAGCAAATTGATAATTATGATTACGAAATGTTTGTTTTTGTTTTTTTGTGTTTTTTTTTTTTTTGTAATTAACTAATTGAAGTTAGATTTAATCGAAAAATATATCGTTTCTCTCTGTCTCTATTTCTCGCTCTCTATGGGACTATCTTTCTTTGTGTGTTCCATCTCTTTCTCTCTGTGTGTGTGTGTGTCTCTCTCTCTCTGTTTCTCCCTCTCTATCTCTCTCTGTGTCTCTAGCTCTCTCTCCCTTTGTCTCTCTTCTGAGTCTCTCTATGTCTCTCTATTTTTCGGGTTCTATCTCTTTCTATATCCCTCTCTTTCTCTCCCTCTATCATTCTCTCTCTCTCTCTCTCTCTCTCTCTATGTCCCTCGCCTTTCCCACTCAATGACTTGTACCTGACAGCCAGTGTTGTTAAACGAATTTCTAATACTCTTCAGCTCTTAGTGTTCACTTCAACTTAACTTCATTCTCTCCCTTTCTCCCTCTCTTAACTCTCTCGCACAGTTTGCATTCTAATATCACTTTCCACAGATGTCAGCAAGTGTCAGCTGTCATGTGCTTAATTATGCTCAGCTTCACTTTCAGCTAATGTCATTGAGCATTAATTGCCGCAAGCTTTTACTGCTACCTACTTCCAGTTCCAGTTACTTCAACTTCAACTTCATCTTCCTCTTCTTCTGCTTCATTATGCTAATGTCACTTTCGGTAAGCAACATTTCTAGCTACATCACGCTCTCTCTCTCCCTCTCCCGCGCTCTCTCTCGCTTCAAGCTGACAGCGCCTAGTTACAGCTCGTGTCATTGGGCAATGATGCGACTATAAGTTGACATTCAATAAATGAGCAACAAAAAATGAATAAAAAACGCTAAGAACGTGTTTCATTTCGCTTGTCGAGGTGAAATTTCATTCATAATTCTTAAGCTACCAAAATGTGACAGCTCAAAATTCGCGTTAATCGTAAATGAATACATGAATCGCTCATTGCCAACAGAACAACAACAACAGCAACAACAACGAGAATAATTCAGACTTTTGGTATTTCGAAAAACAAAACCAAAACAAA